GGACAGCACCTGGACAGGGAGACGCCAGCAGCGGGCTACTGAGAAACCTGCAAGGTGAAGGCAGAGGGGGGTCCCGTTAACTTGCTCACACCACATGTGGAGTCTCAATCCTATTGGGGAAGCCATACAAAGAAACCCTTTACAAGTCTACCTCCATCCAAGTCCTACATCCAAGTCCCATGGAGGGGTGACATCGTGGTATATAAAAATAAATAGGATTTAATTGAATTGAGTGGATGAATAGTTTACATCAGTTTCAGCTCACAACATATCAGATGGAAACATCTTAGCCAGAGTCCCCAAGCCAGAGCCTGCTGAAGATGCCCCAGGCATCTCGGCGAGAGCCAACCATCAGCCTGCATGCTGCAGCTACAGTCCTGTGGATGAAAGCATCGCGGTACAGACAGACACATGCGAGGAAATCAGGAGGACAAGAGAAAGTGTCAGAATGCAAATCACTCAAATGTGCATCTTATTCCAAATCATTCACCCAGCAAAGGACACTTACTGGGTATAATACTGATACCCCAAGTTCCCAGCCCAACCAAATATGCCACATATGTATGGATGGACAAAAACACGCTTTGCATTACTATGGCGACACAGTCAGCCTGATGGTGCAGATGTGGTTTTGTGATCTACAGATTTCACTGTCCAATGTGCAACTTTGTGGGCAGAAACATCCCCAGTGATGCAAAGGGATTAAAGAGCCCAAGGGCGGCCAAGTGTCAAAGTGGGGCATACCAAGCTGCCATTCAATTAGGGGAATTTAACGCCTGGAAAGCCCGACAAACACAGGCCGCGCAATCGGGAAAACAAAGGGTGACCGCCTGTAATTAATTTAAAATAATTAAGGAACAATTGAGCATGAACGACGGCCCCCGCGCTGAGAAGCGAAGCCTGCATTTAAGTGGGAGGGGTACCAGCATCACACCAAGCATGATACATTTACATTCCTCACAGTGGAGGATTAGAAACATCTCGTTTTCAGAAGCTTCTTAATACAATGAAGAAAAAGATGCAACATGATTTAATTTACAGTCTCAGAGCCCTTGTCTGAGGACCCTGGTGCTGATCCCATTCGTACAAAAGGGAATGAATGATTCAGCCTGCAGTCTGGGTCCCTGATGATTCCCAAGGAGGTCTTTAAATTCCTGCAGTCTGGGTTCCTGATGATTCCCAAGGAGGTCTTTAAATTCCTCTCAAATTCTCCATGTGGGCCAGTGTACAGCTCACAGGGTTAAGGCCCTGCACCTGTGGTTGAAAGGTCAGATCAAAGAGTCTAGTAAATGTAATCTGTAGTTTAAAAGAAGAACCAATACTGAACAGAGAACCCAAAAGCAGAAGTTAACATGCCAGCAGCTTTAGGATGGTTTTTCTCCAAGTGTCTCTGACCTCAGAGTCCCTGAGGCCGAAGCGGATGCCTAGGCACTCACAGCACAGCAGGCAGCCTGGGGACCTGCACTCACAGCACAGCAGGCAGCCTGGGGACCTGCACTCACAGCACAGCAGGCAGGCAAACATCTGCGTGACCACTTC